CTGCCAGTTAAGTTGGTCAGATCAGAGAGAGGCTTGCTCAGAGACTGTTATGGGCGGGAGAGCCCCACGTCTCCTCCCTGCCTGAGACTCCATGGAGCTCTCTGAGTGCCTCACCGTGGATACCGGCCCCAGCGTGCTCCCTGCCCCGCCTGTGGCCGTCCAGATTCCGCTAGAGCTTCCCTTAGCACCAGCAGTGGCCACTGGCTCACTTCTCTGCCCCTCCAGCAGCCTGAACTTGGCGGCTCTGCATTGCGTCTGAGAAAGAGCCAGGACTCAGCTGTTTTCTCTGAACAGAGCCCTGTTCCCTCAGAGCGGCCCGTCCAGGCCCCAGGGAGCCAAAAGGCTGTCCTCTGCTGAGTTCACTCTTTTCTGGAAGTTGCCCACACAAGATGAACAAGACTAAGGAGAGATGGGAGTGGAAACCGTTTGATTTAGATCCTGCTCAGCGGGAGTTCCTAGTCTGGAAGGCTAACATTGTGTACACTTTCTGGGGAGGAAGACCATGGTTCTCATCCCACCCTCCATTCTATATAGAAAGTCACAGCCCACTCTGTTGCCGTCTTCCTGAGTCCTAGAGCAAGCTCTGCCCCTGGGGAAAACGATGACTCTAACAGAAGCTCTGGTCGGGTGTTTGCCATTTCTTTCCTCAGCTTATTTCTCTCCTTACTGTCCTTTCTTGACTCTCAAACCCTCTTTCCTTTGGCAGGATCGCTGCAGAGCAGAGCAGTAGATTGGCAAAATATAGGACACTACGGTAAAGATGAAGGGCGACTCATCCCAGGAGCAGGGCCCCTTCCATCTTGCCCACCTCATGCATGTCAGTTATTTATCTGATTTTCAGCACACTTGTTCCTCCCCATCCCTCCCTAAGCCGAAGCTGAATTCTGAGGCCATTTCCCCACTTCCTGGACCAAGCTGTAACTGGACCAGGGCAAAAGCCAAAGCCCCCTGAGTTAGCCCAGCTGATGGTAACTGCAGCAGAGCAGCTCTGACCTGGCTTTGACTGTAAGGCTCCATCCTCCCGTGTGCCCCACAGGGTACTTTATAGACACAGCCCCTCTCTGTGTTCAGAGAACAGAGTTGAGGATAGACAGATTCAACCTTGGACTTCTTAAAAGGGGACACCCCCCCCCATTCAGGACATCTAAATTCATTAAATGATGGTCCCATGGCAAATCCTGGCACACCTTGTCACTGTTCTAGGCCTTTTTGTAATATTAACCTCTGATTGGGCCAAACAGTGTGGTTTGGTGAGACACTAAATTTTGAAGACTGATGGCCACAGATCAAAGCCAGCATCATCAAAACCCAGGTTCCTAGAGCTCAGGATATATGGTTCAGGGCAGCTCCCTGTGTGACTAAAATGTCAAGTGAAATATCACCCGTTCTCCACTGTGTCCAGTCCTAGGATGAGGGTGGGAGTGCAGGAAGGTGAAGGGAGGGAAGGAGAAGAGAGTGTGTGATGCTTCACTGATCAGCTCCTTTAGACCAAGGATTGGCAGAAGTTTTCTAGAAAGAGCCAGATAGTACTTAGGCTTTGCAGGCCATACGGTCTCTGTTACAACTACTCAGCTCTGCCACTATAATGTGAGAGCAGCCATAGACCACGTAAACAAACCCGCTGGCCATGTTCCAGTGAAACTTCGTTTACAGAAGCAGGTGGTGGGCTGCATCTGGCCTGCGGGGCACAGTTTGTTGACCCCTGTACTAGACCAACAAAGAGGAGGGAGGTAGTTGAGTTTTCAAGTCATGTTCCCTCTCGTCCTTTGCCATGGAAATGGCTTTCCCTGCCAAAGCAACAAAGCCGTCTAATTTTCACTCCTCTGAAAATAGGAGAAATCAACAAAAGCATAGAATGTAGAGCCTTTTTCACTGATGTGTGAACATAAGCTGGAACATCTAGTTCTCAACACAGGCTTGCTCAGAGACGACTTGCTCAGAAAGCGACTACATTTGTTTTGGTTTTGTTTTTTCAGGATTAATTCATATACAGTAAAATTCACCCTTGTTAGTGTACAATTCTGTGAATCTTGAAAGATGTAGTAGACAGTCTTGTAAACACTACCTCAGCCAAGGTACAAACTTATTTCCACACTCCAATGAGCTCCTATGTCTCTTTGTGGTCTGTCCCTTCTCCCTACCCGCCATTCCTTAGCCTTATCCATTTGGTTTTGTCCTGAATTACAGTTGCTCTCGCTGAGATTTGTTTTCAGAACTAGTCCTTTCTGCTAAGTATTGAGCTCTTTAATTCTTTAAAACTAACTGGATTCGTTTTGTTTTTCTTGATTTTTAGATAGTCTGCCCCCCCCCCCCCCCTCCCCCCCACCCATCCTCCTTCAGAAAGAGGGAAGTCCCTTGATCATTTGGACATTTGGGACTTCCTGAGGTTGGGACCTTGTCTTTTAGGGGAAAGTCCCTAGTAGCCAAGTGTTTTTGATCTGAGAACAGGTGTTGATTTGATCAGGCGTAACAGAGGGCTAATTTCTTAGCTAAGATGGAGGCTTGTGGGTCACCACCCTTTCTGCTGTTCTTATTTCATAATTAACGCTGTCCTCTCTGCATGAACGTTTCGAAACACACATACTTTTTTTTTCTTTTTTGGCCGCCCCGCGTGGCTTGTGGGATCTTAGTTCTCCGACCAGGGATCGAACCTGTGCCCCCTGCAGTGGAAGCTCGGAGTCCTAACTACTGGACCGCCAGGGAATTCCTGGAACACACACCTGGGAACCTCTGAATGCTGGCAGAGAATTAGGGGCACTCACTTTGGCCCTCAGGATGAGTTCCATGCTTGTGCATGCGTGCCCCTTGGAACTGTTGATTAATTGGTTTGGAGCCTGCCATTCTGCAAGACCGCCTTGTCATCACATCAGCCCTCACCACTGGGGACAGCTGCCTGCTGAGGACGGCATGTGTGTGAGCACCTTGCTTCTGCTCACCAGAACCATCTGAATCACTTACTTGGTGCTGTCATCCTCTGGCTGCACAGTGTCTGTCCAGATAGTCATTTCCCTTCTTGTGTTTCCCCGTCACTTCCTGGAGTCTGGGGGGGGGGCAGCTGTGGAGAAAGAAGGAATAAAGAGAGTTAGTGTTTTTATCCCCTCAGACTTTTTCTGTGAGCTGAGTCCAGTTTTTGAGAATCATTCTTTCTTAAGTTTAGACATCTGATCACTGACAAGAACATGACCACACGATAGGAATATGGTACAGATTTCTGTACCGAAAGGTCAGAATGTCATCTTCCAAGCTACGTGAGGGCATGTGTTGTTTGGCAGACCTGGAGTCCGGGAAATTGAAGACGAGCATTCTTCTATTCATCTAGTTGAAATGTACAGTGTCTTTTTGGCCTTGTACTGTGAGAGGTGTGCCTGGAATTACCTCATCTTGTGTTTTCACATACCACACTTACTTAGGTATCATCAGGTGTGTTTCATTGTTTATTTAAGATGTTGTCAGCTTCAGTTCGAGCTATCTGTCTTATATTGTTTTGTGAAATGAGATGGGGCATAAATAAATAGAATTAATAGATGAATGAAAAAAAATAGATGAATGATTGTTCCCTTATAAATGGGATCTCCTAGTACCTTGGTCTCTCTGTTGTCACCAGTTAGGAGCTGCAACACTGAATTGAAATATTCAATAATTTTGTGTTTGTCTCCATTTTCTTTCAGAACAGCACATTAGTTCCAGGAAAAAGAAGGAGATTCTGAAAGCGTAAGCGAATATCAAGAGAAGGAATCAAGAATAATTCATAGTTTGAGAAGAGGAATGAAAAAAACCCTTTATTTAAAAAGAAAAAAGTCAAAATCGTTTTGCTTGTTTTTCTATTTCCCCAACACAGAGCAGGTACCTGTGAGCCCAGATACTCTGTTTCTTTGGCATGGTGCCCTAGCAAGATGCTGTGAATATTCTAACTTACCCACATGTTGCATTGAAAAGTTGAAATCTGTAATTAATCTGTTATGGAATAAAGAGAATAATAGGAATGAAGACCTGAGAGTTTCTTCCTGTACTTTGGGGCTGATTGGATTCCCAGGGCACATAACATGAGGCCTTTGTTGGGAAGTATGCTTGACACAGTGGCCGGGGTGTTTCTCCAGGACATTTTACGTTGGTCCTTCTCACCTCTTTCTTTCTTTCTTTCTTTCTTTTTTTTTTTGCCGCATAGCATAGCATGTGGGAGCTTAGTTCCCTGACCAGGGATCGGACTGTCACCTCTTTCTTAGCAGAGCTGAGGATTACCTGGAAAAGCCAGCATCCTTTCTTCATCTCCAGCACTGGGTACCAACTATGTCCTGTCGATATCTGAAGACCCCCCTGCTTTTGCCTTGAAAGTTTGGTCTTGGTGTGCAGTGGGGAAGGGAAGGGATTATCTTAAAAGAAGGCTGAGCCCATGAGCTATCTTAGGTTCTTAGAGGGACACATGCATCTCAAGAATGCCCCTTTGGAAGTTGTGCCCGGGATGACCATTACGTGGAGGTTATACGATATCACTTAGAGAAGTAATATTGAGCAGTGTGTTTATGTGTGCAGACTTCAGTGTTGGGCAAGCCTACTGTTAGCACTTACACGCTGAAGGACTTTGGGCAAGTGGCTTAATGTCTCTAAGCCTCCTTTTTTTTCTTCCGTAAAAGATAATACAGTACCTCCTCCTATGGCTGAAAGAGTTTCATGAATCTGAAGTGCTTGGCTCAGTGCTTGGCATCTGTCCTAATTGGCCCATAGTTATGTACTTTGGCTCATTGCCTCTACTTCTATTAATTGAAACATAATAGTAGATAACTTTTGAAATGCAGGTAATCCTAGGAGTATTTATTGAGTTTGGGGGGTAGAAATTATTTTAATCAGATTGCTTTCCAGCGTAGCTGGACTTGCCCCTTCAAAATGGGGATTTTAACTGGGGAAAGAGGAAAGGAGATTCTGGAACTTTGGCTGGTTCTGAATGGGACTCTGCAGGGGAGCGGTTGATACGGGCAATAACAGGGGTGCCTCTAAGATAGGAAGGAAACCTCACCTTTCCCAGAGGTTGCAAACCGGTGGCCCATGTTTTATTTGATCCATAGTGTTCTTTGGTTTTTTTTTAATTGAGTTAGTTGCTAACGTTTACAAATTGAGAAAATTCATATAAAAATCCAATTTGGGGACTTCCCTGGTGGCACAGTGGTTAAGAATCCGCCTGCCAGTGCAGGGGACACGGGTTTGAGTCCTGGTCTGGGAAGATCCCACATGCCACGGAGCAGCTAAGCCCGCGAGCCACAACTACTGAGCCCGCATGCCACAACCACTGAAGCCCACACACCTAGAGCCCATGCTCCTCAACAAGAGAAGCAACCGCAATCAGTAGCCCGTGCACTGCAGCAAAGATTAGCCCCCGCTCGTCGCAACTAGAGAAAGCCTGTGTGCAGCCACGAAGACCCAGCGCAGCCAAAGATAAATAAATTTATAAAAAATAAGTAAAATAAATAAATTTATTTTAAAAAAATCCAATTGGGGGTTTGGGATTCTCTGGAAAAAGAAAATCAGAGCCGGCAACATTGGGCCTGATTCCTGTGTGACAGCATCTGCTGCCTTTGGGTTGGGCCTGCACTCTGCGCTCTGCCACAGTCCTGCCCCCACGGTCCCGCCTGCTCTGGCATCGGCCCTCCCACCGACTTCGCGCGATTGGTACCTGCCTGGCTCCTGTAGACGTATGACTTTGAAAGCCTTGCTTTTAAATTTTAGCTTCTTATCCCGCCCTGATGGGAAAAGGTGATGTTGGTATCCAACTGCTGTTGGGTGGCTCCTAGTGTCCCTGCTTATGGGTGCTGGGACCTCAGCAGCTCAGAGCAGTGGGGAAGGGAGGAGAACAGGAGACCCACCCACCTGGTACTGTCGCACCTGTAACCAGACCTGTATAGTTCTGGAAAACAGACTGGTTGAGGCCTGCTGGACAGAGGTGTAGAGAAGGGACAGTAGGGCCTGAGCATAGAAGTGCAGTGGCAGTGGCTGGAGGGCAGGAGATCAGGAAACAGCTTCCTAGAGAAGGGGCTGGCAGGGCTCAGGGGCGCCATGGCCGGTTCAGGGCTGGCCTGCAGACCTAGAGGAGCTGGAGAATAAAGCACAGCAGACATTTGCTACATGCCAGACTCTGTGCTTGGTCCAGCTGTGGCAGTGAGCAAGACAGATTATTCCCTGCCCTTGGTCCACTTATATCCCGGAGGGGACAAGGGAAAGGGAGCAGAGTAATCACAAATCTGAAAAGGAATATTTATCCAGAGGGGTTGGGAAGGCTAAGCTGACAATCGAAGGAAAAGAGGCAGTCTTTGCAGAGCTGGGGAAGAACATTCTAGGCAGAGCAGCAACATACGCAAAGGTTCTGAGGCAAGAGCTTGGCGTATCTGAACTGAAAGCAGGCCAGAGTAACTAGGGCGGAGCTAGCAAGGAAGAGAGTATCCTTGGAAGCCATAACAAATATGGATTTTAAGGGCCGTGGTAAAGGGGATAGATTTTATTTTAAGACTGACAGCAAATTAAGGGGACTTGGATTTTATGCTGAGATACAGCAGAGGCAGAAACAGCTCGTATGCTGTCTTTCTGGCCCTACCCACTGGGAGAAGCCTCTTGAGGGCTGCAGGAGAGAGTCCGCTTGCTTGTAGCCTCGTGGTAGGTCTGGGGAGGCTGCAGTTGAGAACAGGCCTAATGAAATCCACTGGATTTGTTGCTCAAATTATTTGCTACTAGCAAAAATCCTTTGCTTGACCAAACTTTAGTCAGGATCCTGAAATTTCTCCTACGCCCATCTGTACTCTTTCTTTTAAAATCTAGTTTTAGCAAGAACCCTGCTAAGCAGTTTAACCAGACCCTCCCACCTCCATGTCTGATCACCCTGATATGTGGTCAGATTCCTCACCCTCCACCATCTCCCAGGTGATGTCTGATCTTCCTGGCCTATCTTCAGCCAGAATCCTGTTAGGTCAGCTTAACTAGAATCCCCTTACCCCTGATGTATCTTCTTGGTAAGTTTCCATCCACTGTTCCCCACCCTGCTCCTTGGCTATCAGTTCCCACTAGACCATGCTGTATTCAGAATTGAGCCCACTTCTGTATGAGGTCTCTTTCCCCCTATTGCAGAAGTCCTGAATAAAATCTGTTTTTACCTCTTTAACTGCTGTGCAGCTCTGGTTTTCATTTGACACCACAGTAGTGCCTGGGCCTTGCTTTCTCTATAAAGAGTACTCAGCACAGCAGGTCAGAGTCCAACTGACCTTTCTTCAACCCCCTGAGCCTTAGTTTCTTATTGGTAAAAATGGGATAATACCTCTGAGGGCTTTATA